TTATCATCACAAAAAAAAAAAAAGTGTCCTTTTGCCAGGCTTATCTTGTATTGTTTCTCTCAAGAACTTAGGGAGCTCTGGTGGCCTAGCTGTGAGGAACTGTGCTGTCAACTCAAAGGAAAGCGGTTTGAATCTACCAGTTGCTCCATGGAAGAGGGACAGGCAGTCTCCTTCCACATGATTCACGGCCTCGAAAGCCTGCCGGAGGGTCAACTACGAGGTGTTTCCAACAGTACACAACAACAACAACTCAAGAACCTACAGAAGGCTTTCTTGCTCCAACAGCACTTGTGCAAACACAGTGAATGACTGTAAACCCCACCAGCCTCACCATGTGATGTAGCACAACAGCAGACGTCCCATATGTGCCTAGGGAAAGCAGCATGGTGATAGGAAACACAGTGATCTAATAGGCAGACAAACCCAATTTTCTTTAAGGTTTAGAAAACGCTGAATGAGCAAGTGTCCTGATGAATAATTACGGTAAACTGGACTAAGACACTGTGTTGTCCCATCGAGGGCAAGTCATGTTAGAAACCAGCCGAAAAGGCTGCTGCTTTTGCTCTCCTGTGTCTTTTTTGGCATGTGGCACATGGCACATCTGACTCATTCTTCATCCAGAGAGACATGCATCTACCTTGTCCTTATCCATGACAACACTGGCAACAGACCCAAATGCCTGGAAGTACTCGGAGAGCTGTATTGAGTCCACATCCCGGGGAAAGCCACTGACAAACACACTTCGAAGTCCTTGAGCCTTTCGGGCAGCACGTAGCTCTACCAGGTGCCGGTGCTTCCTGCCTCCCAAGTGGGCTTCCAGGCTGGGCCCTGCAAAGACAAGCATGACAGAAACATCCAAATCACCCTCCAGTGTCCCGGCCCCTGCCTCTGCTCTCCGAAATTCACCTGACCCTTCAAAGTATGACCTACGAATAAACAAAATCCTGACTGTTTTCTCTTTGTTCCTGACTCTCTTGTCCATTTGTCTAGACACTAAACTCTCTAATTGCTCTGCAACCAGCTCCTTGGACAAGTGGCTAAACTACAAGTATTTCTTAAGTTGTTGTTAAGTGCCAATTAGGCAGCAACACACATTATAAAGAAATGTACTGGTAACTTATTCAAGTTATGCGCAGAACTAAATAACACAGAACCACGGACTATATTCCCCATGGACCATCTCTACGTCCGGTACAGTGATTGCTGTAAGTGCAGCATATTAAGTTAAACACTTTGTCTGTCCAAACCTCAGTTCTCTCAAACGATGGGAGAACTTGGACAAGTTGTTTAATGTCTCTGTGCCTTCATTTCCTCAGCCAGAGACGAAGATAATAATAGTAGCTAACGCCCAGCGGTCATCCAGCGTGCGTGAGGTCAGGGCGAGGGCACAGCAGCTCGGGTGGGGGCGCCATGCAGAGGGCCGAGCGAAGGGGCGCTGGGGGGCTGCGGCCAGGGTCCCCCGCGTCCACGGGCAAGGCCTCACTGGAAGAGCTGCCCGAAGGCCCGCGCGCCGGCCCGGGCCCCCGGAGCACCGAGTCTGAGGTCGTCGACGGCACCAACACCTTCTTCTGGCGAGCCCACACCCTGACTGTGCTGTTCCTCACCTGTGCACTTGGCTACGTTACCCTGCTGGAGGAGACGCCCCAGGACACAGCCTACAACACCAAGAGAGGTGTGGTGGCCAGTATTTTGGTTTTCTTATGTTTTGGAGTCACCTAAGCTAAAGACGGGCCATTTTCCAGACCTCACCCAGCGTACTGGCGGTTCTGGCTCTGTGTAAGCGTGGTCTATGAGCTTTTTCTCATCTTCATCCTCTTCCAGACTGTCCACGATGGCCGGCAGTTCCTCAAGTACATCGACCCGAGGCTGGGCGTCCCGCTGCCCGAGAGGGACTACAGGGGAAACTGCCTTCTCTACGATGCGGACAAGACTGACCCTTTCCATAGCATGCGGGACAAGCTGGGTGGCTTTGTTCCTGCACATTTCCTCGGCTGGTACCTAAAGACACTGATGATCCGGGACTGGTGGATGTGCACGATTATTAGTGTCATGTTCGAGTTCCTCGAATATAGCCTGGAGCACCAGCTGCCCAACTTCAGCGAGTGCTGGCGGGACCACTGGATCATGGATGTGCTGGTATGCAATGGGCTGGGCATCTACTGTGGCAAGAAGACCCTTGAGTGGCTGTCCCTCAAGACCTATAAGTGGCAAGGCCTCTGGAACATTCCCACCTACAAGGGCAAGATGAAGAGAATAGCCTTCCAGTTCACCCCCTACAGCTGGGTTCGCTTCGAGTGGAAACCCGCATCCAGCCTGCGCGGGTGGCTGGCCGTGTGTGGCATCATCCTGGTGTTTCTCTTGGCAGAACTGAACACATTCTACCTGAAGTTTGTGTTGTGGATGCCGCCAGAGCATTACTTGGTCCTTCTGCGCCTGGTCTTCTTTGTAAACGTGGGAGGGATGGCCATGCGGGAGATTCATGACTTCACGGATGACCCGAGGTTCCACAAGAAACTGGGCCAGCAGGCCTGGTTGGTGGCCGCCATCACCCTCACGGAGCTGCTGATAGTGGTCAAGTACGACCCGCACACACTCACACTGTCACTGCCCTTCTACATCTCCCAGTGCTGGACACTCGGCTCTGTGCTGGTGCTCACCTGGACTGCGTGGTGCTTCTTCCTGCCGGACATTACTCTGTGATATAAAGAGATCCGGAGGCAGAAGCAGGAGAGCCGGGACGACAAGAGCAGAGCTGTCTGTAATGGTGAGGGCCACTCCCCAGAGCCAGAGGACAGCCTACTGGTGCCCAATGAGGCAGGAGAGCGGGCCCTGCACTGACACTGACCTGCACCCTCCACCCACCTCCCACGGGCCCAGGAGTCCTAGGCCCTCGTCTTTACTCCAGCAGAAGCATCAGCTGTGGCAGCGGGGGTGAGGCGGCCAGCCAGGGCTTTGGCTGCATGTGCACACACGTCTGTCTGTGTGTATCTGTGCGTGAGTGCGTGTGCTTTTCACCCAGAGTGTCCTGGATGGCCAGCCAGTCAGCAGGACCAGGAGCTTAGAGGGGGCAGTGGCAGGATCCCAGTGACTCCCCGTCACCAGAGCTTCCACTTCTGTGTCTCCTGTCGGATCTGAGACTGGGGCAGCTGTGCAATGGTGGCTGAGACTCCCAAGTGTGTGCTGGCTCTGCTGGCCATGTGCCTGCCTGCACAGCCCCTGACCTCTGGCAGCAGTGCTGGGTGTGGGTTAGCTGCGGCACCCGAGAACCTGCGCCACTGTACACAGAGCCTTCCCTGCAGCGTGTTGGTGTAGCAGACCTGGTGTGGGTGGGTCCAGGTGGGGGGCCCTCCCCATGAGCAAGGAGAACAAATAAAACCGGTGACAAATTAAAAAAAAAATACTAGCTAGCACATAGCTCCTATTCAGCTACAGCACTGGGCAGAGTCCAACACATGGTAAGTACGGGTAAATAGCCACTATTATTATTTTTATTATACTTAAGTCTACTGCTTGATGTCAACAATGTAGATATGGGGCCAAGAAAGTTGTAGTAACTTGCCTAGGGACAAATAAGAGTGCTGTTGAGCAAAGAAGGGAAGCCCCCCTCCCATTTATGGAAGGTCATGACTGCAGGCTTTGTTTCTCTGAACCCCCTGCACCATCATACTTTGCACACTTACATCTATGAGCTTTTCCAAACTCTTCTGCCTGTCCCTCACTGATACCCTAGTGTTGCATGGCTGCAGCATGCCATATATCACAGATGCTGCCGTTAAGCTGCTCTCTTGTAAGGCTTGCCCGCCTCTAAATTACTGCCTTCTCTGCAATCCCACAGCGCTGCAAACATAAGTGTAAGTATTCAAAGTGGCTGCCTCTACTAGACGTGAGCTCCTTCATCTCCCAACTCTCTCCTCTGACGCCGGAGCCCAGGAGAATACAAGCACAGAAGAGAAGCCCGAGGGATGATGCCTAATGAGGGAATATTCTATATAAAGTTTCGCCGTGGATATTTTGGATGCAGGGAAGGAGAGAGAAGAGATGGTGGGACTTTCCTCTCTCTAATCTCTTCGGATGGGCAGATGCCTATGAAAATGGGGGTGCGTAACCCTACCAAACGACTTGACAGAAACTATGATCTTGAACCCTAATTTTCGCTTTGACCCACAGATGAGACCCCGTGACCACCCCCCCTCGCTGGTGACCCCTTACGGTTCGCTGTAGTAATGCGGCACAGGAGGCAGCGGAAACCCCCTCGCGGCAGCGATTCCACATCCGAATCCACCGCCGCCATCGCAACTTCCCAGCACGGACAAAAACTAGCCCTGATGCCTCCACAACCCGCTCTTCCAGATAGCAAAGCGCTCGAAAGCAATTTCCTCCGGTCGGATGGGAAGTGACGTACCGAGGCTCCCGCGCAGACGCACCCCTCCGGAAACCCAGCTCTCCGCTCAGGGTTCCGCTTTCGCACCGCCCACCTACTGTGCTTATCTGCATGCGATGAACCTATTGGTGTGCTCTGAGAGGCTCATGCGTTGATTGGCTCAAACATTATGAATATTCAACAAAGAGCCACAAAGGCAAGGCGCTGGCGGCTTCTCTCGCCGGTTCGCGGAGGCTGCTGCCAGAAGCGTTAGATGGGTGGCCTCGGCCTCACGGGTCGCGAGGACCGACACCTTATACTCTTGGTCCCCCCAAGCCCGGGGCTGCCCAGACTTCCAGCCACTTCAGAACTGCTGCCCTCTCTTTTCCGGGCCTCCCCCAGCAGTTTTGTGCAACCTGGTTGGGGAGCTCTGTCCGGTCCTCCAGCAGGGAACTTGCGACCTCCCGGACCACAGCTGCACCCCAAGACCCCTTGTTAGCCAGACTCCTTCCTGCATCCATTTCCCCGGCACCACCACCCCCACCCCACCCCACCGCGTGTGCTTCTCAAACTCCAGAGCCAACCGGCTTTCAAGGCACTGCAGCCATGGTGGCAGCTACCAAGGACTGACATGGATCGTCCCCCAAAGTCCCCAAACTGGCATAGGGTTCAGTTCTTCCCCTGAAATCCCGAAGTGAGGGGGAGCTCCTGATGGTGGCTCCGAATCAGAAATAGGGAGGCGCTGGGGAGACCTTGAGGGAGCAGAACGAGGAGGAGAGCTTGACTAATTGGCAACAAACTGATTACAAAGTGTTGCGTGGCCTTGAGGCAGGCACTCCAAGGTTGTGATCTTGAACAAGTTGCAGAGCTGAACTTGTTCCTCATCTATAGAAGTCCACAGTGCCCTTAATCTGTTGAGCTTGTTTTCTTTCCTAACATATCCTTCCTGAAGGGCCTGGCTTGAGCATCTATTTCCCAAACCACAATGGGCCACCACACACAGCCCTGGTGAACCAGTGGCTGCAGCCTAAGCACAGCTGGGAATCAGTGGTTAAGCCCTGTCAGCCTCTACTACACATCCTGCCATGACCTCTAACAACTCCCAAGGTTCCCCAAGTAACTTGGTTTACAGTGCCTGATTTTTCAGAAGTCTATTACCAGGCCTTTCTTCAGAGGTACCTCTGGGTAAACCTGAACCATCAACCTTTTGGTTAGCAGTGAGCATGTTAACTGCACAACAAAGAGACTCCAGAGGGCAGTTAAGAGCTGGGGAACCAGGCAGAAGCACCTTCATACCCTGCTTCTATGTAAGTGACTAGCCTGACTGAACAGAGTACATGGGCTAGACCACTGGGAGTTGTAGAGACGGAGGATGTGTCAGATCTGGGCCTCACAAGACTGGCTGAAGTCAGATCTCGGCCCAGATCTTATAAAAAGCCGTTTCCAGCATCAGCCTCCTCTGCACCTTTTTGTCCCTTATTATTTTCTCTCTTGAAGACCACCCCTCCCCCAACACACACACCCATCGAGAGAACAGCTGAACCGGGAGGAGCTGAAGAAAACAGCTTTTTATTTGTTCCTATAAGAACCAATTACAGAATCCAAGGTTAAAAAAAACGGACAAAAGATCTTTATTTCTGAGAGTTGGCGTACAAAAGGCAGAGGGGAGGCAGGGAAGAAAAGAGCGAGCGTGGGCTGGGGCTGATGCCAGCTTAAGGGCTTCAAACTCCAATTAGGAAAGTCCGGACACCGGACACAAGAGAAACCCCCAATTAGGAAAAAAAAAATGACATGGCAGTGCACACCCCCCTCCCCCAATCAGGTACATCCACCTAATATCTGTTTACTCTTCCCCTCCCCCTTCCCCTTTCTCAAAGGGGGGCTAAATTTTTAAAAAAATTAAAAAACCCTCCCCCCAAAACTGTCCAAGACAAACTGTGGGTCCTACCCACAAAAACAGACCAGGTTCCCGCCTAAGCCAGGTTCCTGCAGTCAGTCCTCCATCACCAGGCGAACAGGACCATGAGGAGGGGACAAGCTCAGCAATGGTGCCACCAGAGGGCGCCCAACCCCTCCAGGGACACACTCCTGCTCCCTTCGACACAGGCTTCACTCCTGATACCAGGAGGTTGGGGTGCCCAAGGCGCAGACCCTCCCTCCACCTCTCAGACCACCTCCTGCCCCACAGATTCAGTCTTGCAGAACAATAGGCTCATTGGTGCTGGCAGGATGTGCTGCTGTGGGCAGAGGAACTGGCGGCCGCACTGCCATCAGTGGTGTCTTCACCTTCAGGGGCAGGTTGGGCCGGCGGGCAGCCCTTCGCATTTCCAGGTGGGTCAAAGCCTTCCGCAGGGCCCTGGCCAGGAGAGCAGAAGGAAGGCTGAGACCCTGCACTACACATGGCAAGTCTGCCTGCCTTCTCATTCTTTCTTGGCACCCCACCAGCACCTCAGTCTTCCTGGACCTGGTCTTGCTCCAGATCTACCTCTCAGCCCCCCAGCCTGGGTTATCACCCTCTCAGCCCCTCCCATGGTGAGAGCTCACTACCTGGTATCTTTTGTGGCTACAAAGACCACAGGATTAGGGGCATCAGCTGGGTTTAGTTTCTGACGCTTGGCTGCTGGCTGTGAGCTTGAGCGGATCCCTGAGGCCAGAGGTCTTCCATTAGCAGAGAAGGGGACCCCTACTCCTGCCATCTGCAAAAGGGCAGGGTAACACAATGAGGGAGGAACCTACTCACACTCCCACGAGAATCAAGTTCACCCAGCTCAGCCGGGGCCCATTCCAATTCCTTCAACTCACAGTCTCATAGGCTCTTTTCACCACAATGCCCCCCAGTCCTCGATTCTGGGTCAACTGGTTTCTGTTGATAGGTGTCTTGGTGCCCCGAGGTGTTTTTGGTTTCAAAGGTGCTTGGGCCACTAATGAGGAAAAAAGAACATAAAAAAAACCAACACCTTAAATTTTTCACTTTCAGTTCCCTACAGTTTCCCTTGCTCAATTTAATCTATTCTTCCTGGGTCAGCAGTTCCTCTAGGCATCCCCAAAAAGTAATGATGAGGGAAACGCTTTGCAAGCTATTTACTAGTATTCAGAAATCACACAGGATGATCCCATGGAAACAGTGGAAAGATTATGAAAAAGAAATCCCTGACATCAAAGTACAGTTAGACAAATACTTCTAGAACACTATGGAAAAAACAAGCTGGCAGCAGGAAGACTCTTGACTGTTAGGACTCTACCCTAATTGCACTTCCTGTCCTGTAACAGGGATGGATCCAGTTTGGTTCCCCATTGCCTACCTAGATCTTTGACAATGGTCGCCAAGGGTAGTCGCACCAGAGGGTGAATCTTCAGGGGGGTCTTGGCGGCCTTTGGAAGTCGAATAGAGCCTGCAGAAATAAGATGAAAGCTTCAGAAGCAGTTTCAGAGCTCATGTCTCTTATGAAGATGAAAGCCATGTCTACTCTCTTAACAGATATTAGTCCTAGTCTGCCTGCTACCCTTACACTCTGCTTTGATGGCATTGGCATTGATAGGAGCGTAAGGTCGCCGGGCGGCCCTCCTCGGCTGTAACAGGTCCCTGCACATGCGTCTGGCAAGACGGGTCAGCTTTGTGGTCTGCAGCAGGAATGTTTGCCTGTTCTTAGCCAAGAGCTTGGCCCGGTTGGCGCTGGTGGTATAGGGTGATAGACTCTGGGCTTCCGGTCTGGATAAGTGGCTTCTTGAGTGTGGCTCCTGGAACAAGGGCATAGGAAAAAGAACACATGTCAGTACTGAAGCCCCCTCAGCTCTTCCATGCCCACCAGAGCACAACTTCCTCCTGCCTGGCCTCATCACCAAAACGGTTCCCTGCCATCATCAGGCCCCCCTCAAAACAAACCAACACCAAACCATTTTCAGGTGTTGACCTTTCTTCAGCTCAAGTTTATGTTAACCAACACGTTTACCCCTCCAATCCTTACCGTGTTACCCCGAGCAGCCCCCTCAAGCTGTGTGGGTGTCTTCAATCCTCCGTACTTCTTCCAGTAGATCCAACAGGAGGCACACAGGCGGCACTGCATGTTGGGTGGGCCCCAGGCATACCACTGGGCAGACTGTGTGGCTGTCAGAGGAGAGAGCAGAGGGTGCTCAGGGAGGGAGTGGGAACCCCTGGACCCTGTGAACCAGAGAGACCCAGCCACCCAACCTCAGCCTCCCAGTCGTGCCCATGAACTCACTGTGGCAGCTCTCACAGGTCAGGCCCTTCTGGAATCCAGCCCCATTCATGCCAGGCTTTGAACCCACAGAGATGATCTGGTTGGGGTTTGGCTTGGTGCTGGTGAGAACAGCAGAGAGAGGAAGTAGAAAACTAGTCAGAAAAAAGAGAATCTTTTTCCACACTGTCTGTAAGACAGTACTATGAGGAAAAACTAAGATTAATAAATATCAAAAAGAAAACCACCAAACAATACTACGAGCCTGCCTCTCCCGGCCCCACCCAAGTCACGAGGAAGGCACAGGCTGGGGGAAGAGAAGAGAGGGCATCCTGACCAGTTACCCGTCCCCACCGCACTTACTAGGTAGGGATGTAGACTTGTTTCAGTTTGCTGTCTGCTTCGGCAGCTTTCAATCTCTTCTACATGGGGGTGGGGGGAGAAAAAAAAACAAAGAAAAGAATCAATATCTCAGCACGGAAAGTATTTTAGAAGTCAGAGGAGGTCTCTGGTGGGCTCGCTGGTCAGCTGTTACCTGCTGAATATACCGGTCTGTGGTTTTCCACATGTAGTAAAACTGGACTATGCTGGCAAGTGACTTCCAGGGTAGCTAAGGAGTTCAAAAAGGAAGACAATGAGCAGGGCCTCCAACCTCAGCTTCCAAACCTATCATCGCTCTCCCACCTCTCGTCTAACTCAATCCACTTACAAAGTCTTGGCGAATATCATTGAAAT